AGAAAAGGCAGTAAAACAGTGCCCAAAACATTGGTATTGATTCTGATTCAATCATCAAATCAATCCCAGCAATTTATATAAGATTAAATAGAATAAGGCATACAGGCACAGTAGTAAGAAGAGGTCATGCATCTGTTCAAACCAAACAGATTATTTTCAAATGCTTACCACTAATCAAGAACACTAACATTTACCTTAAGTATTAAATGGTCTTACTGCGCGTTACTAGCATACCATAGCACTTGATCAGCGGACATATTTTCAAAATTTTAAGATGGTGAAAATCAGCTGTTGATGGTAAAATAATACATTGAAGCAAAGGAATTCTTTTCTAATTTTGTTAGATTTATTTGTGAAATGCTGTGTTACAGGTACTGATAACACTTCTTATTCACTGCTTTCAGCAACTGTTGTCTGCTGCTGATGCCCTAGAGCAGTTGTTTTGTCCCTGACAGTGCTTATGATCCACAGGGAAGTGCCGCTGCTCTGGTCCTCCCTGCCTGCTGTTGGCATGCCATTTATGCAGAATTGTTTTCCAGATTTGACAAGGAAGTTTGGGCACTGATGTCTTCAGCCTCAGTTGAGACAGACTGCTGGGGAGCTGTTACCAGTGATACCCTACAGGCTCTGAGCTTTTTTGTTTGATCCAGGTTAGACAGAGGGAGTGCAAGGTTGTGTCTGCATTGGCAGGGGATGGGCACGTTGCAGTAGCAGGTCTAAGATCTCTTTTCTCTTTGTAAGGATGATGAACTCGAGTATCATGCATTCAGCACGGGTGTTAGCAGGTTTTAGGGATAACTTTACACTAAATTAATGTTCATCAAGCAACAGTCAGCTAGCCAGTACTGCCCTTCCAAATGGCTCTGGAAAAGTATCCATAGTGACTGTACTCTGCCACCCTTCCCAGCCATGTCAGCAAGGATTTTTTTGTCTCCATTTGTATCAATCCCTAATGTATTTGGCTGCATTTATACTTATTGTGTTCTTGTAAAATACTGCTCAGGTTTTGAAAACTATGTTATTTTTCAGGCAGGTATTCTGGGAACTTGGCAATTTTGCAGTTCCCTGGCCATCATCGGAAATGTTGTTGCCAATGAATATTAAAAAAAACAAATAGCTTCTTTCAGGAGCTGGAGACCTTCAGGGATAATTGTGTAGAAGAGGTTTTGGCTGCATGCAAGGCTTGTCTTTCTTTGACAAGGAAATGGGCCAAAAAAGGATCTATGGAATAATTTGTTTTCACCCAAGAACACAGCATGATTAAGAGACATTTGTGATGGCAAGATTCCTTATATTCCTGTGGCTTTTTATGGAGTGTCAAGAGTCTACTCATAAGTGTTGGTTCAGAGTTTTCAGAAAATAGAAGTGAAATTCTGGCCCCTAATTTTAAGAAAGACTTTTACCTTCTGGCTGCAAAGCACATTAAGACTCTTTCTCCAAGGGAAGATTAAGTCCAAGTGACCTTTAGGCTCAGTCTTAAGTTTTCCCAGGTCAGTGTATGAAGTTGTTTGAAATGAAGGAGAACATGAGTAGTCCTGAGGGGTATTAATTTGTCATTTGATTGCAATTATGCACTCTAAACAAGGTCTGTGTCTAGAAATTCTTCTCTTCATAAAATAGCCTGTGAAAGTGGTGAATAGCTACTGTACAATTCTGTATGTGGACTATAAAATTCATCCTCTCAGATGGTAAGAGAGTGTATCTGTGCTCTCAATCCTTCCCTTTTTCCTTTTGTTTCTGTACTGAATGCTGCATACAGGTAGGTGGCTGATTCTGAGGCCTGTCTCTCATGGCATGATACCCAATTCAGTTCCTCAATCCTTTATTATCCTTTATTACCAGCAACATTTGCTCTACTGTTTAATACATTTTCCCACGTTATCTACTCTGCCCCACTGGCAACCAAAGGAACTAGACAGTGATTTCAGACAACTTGGAATAAAAAAAGTTCTTTTATCTGTAGTCCTGCTGCTTGCAAACAAATGCACAGTGGACACAATGAGACTGTTTGACATGTCAGAGGTCTAATTCTTTTTCTTGGAAAAACATCTGATGTTCCCCTGTATAAACCAAAAGAGAACATACTTTATCTGTGTCCCACTTTCTACTTATTAAACAAAAAACAGCTGGTACCAGTACTTGCCTTTGGAGGAGAGCATCAGGAAGTTGAAATATCAAATCTTTGCTCTACTTAGTTGCCACGGTGATGCATAATTAACTAGGCTGCAGGAATGCTACAGAAAGTAAACATCAGGAAATAGTCTTGCTAGTGGAAAAATTTAAACCATACTTTTAAGTAAGATTGAAGATTAAGTCTTTATTAATAATTTTCAATTGAACATGTATGCTTTTCTGAATATTGTAATTTGATAGAAGTAGTGTCATTATGTGGTCAGGAAAAATTTAAATTAATTTGAAAGAAATAAAACAGGAGTCTGAGACACATTATTGACAGTACAGTCTTTGTAAAAGGCTGGTGTTTCATTGATTTGTGGAGATTTTGGGAGTTTATTCCCTTATTACTAGTAGGATTCTATTTGAAAACCAGTACCTTTCGCCACAACATATCCAATTAGAAAAGAATAAAGGAAAAAAATCGATTTGGAACAAATGGGAAATTAGATAAAGGCAAACAATTCATCTCTTGGAAACTCTATTCCTTATAGTATCAATGACACGCTCCATGTGCAGCAGTCTGAATAAATCTACAGTACAGGGGCTGCTCAGTAAAACACACCTGGGGTAGGAGGGTGCACCTTCTGACCCTGTGGGAAAGAAAACTAACTTTTTAAGAAGTTCTGTCTCTTTTCTGCATTTGGTCATCTTGTTCTTCAGAACAGGACTTCAGAACCAGACAAGATGGGTTTTAGATTTTGAGGGATGTTGCCAAAATCAAAACACTGTGTGTACTTAGTAATAGGTCTTGTGATGCTTTTCTGTGCCTTATCCTCCTTGATAAAATTAGTGTCATAATTTTTCTTCTAGAAAACTAAGAGCAATAAGTGACCTCCAGCTTGCTTGAAACTCTGTTTTAAGTAGTCAGAACAGATGTTACTGATGAAAGCAGCAGTTCACCTGTATCTCTTAATATAAGTAATTCTAATGTATGTGTCATTTAAGGCCCATCATTCTTCACCTTCAAACTTCCTTGGTTTTCCTGATGAAGTGAGAGCCATCAAGGTGCTTGTGTGTGCTCAGTGTGCATTATTCCCACTGACCTGAGCAGATGACAGTGAAGGTTGCTAGCTTTGGCACTGCAAAGTGCTGAGCACTCTTGGCTCATGTGGACATCTCTGACAGTCAAGGATGCATGAAGAGGACATCTTGTGGTCAAAGCTTGTTTGCAATACACGGTGTTGAGTATAAAGGTGTCCTGAGGAGTAAGTCTGAATACATCTGCCCCTTCTGCTATAACTTAGGACATTATCTTTCTGCTTTCTGTATGACTTGTATTTACTCAGAACTGCATCTTCTGATGAAATTAGCATTGGGTAAAAATGTATTTCTTTCTGTCATTTTGTAATTGCTCATGTTTGATTCAATGACCTTTTAGTTTGTATGACATAAAAATATGCATGGAAGTACCAGTTAATCTGCAGGAAAATGCCCACATAGTTCCTACACATTGTGTCCCCTTTCCTTACTGAGCAGGATTCAGATTCCATTTACGTTTGAGTGTTTTGCAGAAGTAGCAGTGTCTGAAGTTGCAGTCACTGTCAGAACTATTGATAAGGGTGATGGGAAGGCTTGGCATTTTGATGTAGAACAGAGAAAAAAAAAAACACAGACTCTAGAACCATCTATTTTTTGTCTATATTGGCAAGAAGAATGTAATATTTCACCTGAGGCAGGGTCTAAAATTATGCTTCCCCCTGTTTGGCGAGGCCCTGTTGAGCAGAGGAGCCACTTCAGCAAAGTATCATTATTTACTGTGTTCCTTGACATCTCCAATGAAGCATTTGATTGTAAAGTGAAACCAATCCATCCTTTCAAATTTAGTTCTTAAAACTTATTTGGCACATCTGACCTCATAAGGGGGCCAATACCCTCACTGCTGTCTGACCACAGAAAGCACTGGAGTGAGCTGTGAAAGCAGCTTCTTGCCTCCATCTTCCCCACAGGAAATGTTGCCAAGTGCAAACACTAGTGTGTTTTCACATGTTTAGACTGCTTTGAGGCAGAAAATGGTTGCAGATTCTAAGTGCAATTTTTAAAAATATGCTGCTGTTCAGGTAAATTGAGCATTCTTATGGTTGCTAAGAGCCTGTATCAAAATGCTGCTCCATCCTGATGGAGAATGGCTGGTGTTGGGTAGCTTTCGTGTTATATATCCTGTATATTACAAAGATTTGCTTGAAGCTTGGGACTTAACAAGCAGAACACAGAAGGACTTTTGTACAAAGCTTGAAGAGTTAGTCCTGGGCCTTTGGCCAGGAATAAAGAATGCTTGCCCTTGTGCCATTTTGTCCTGTGCTGCTTGGGTTCTGGCAGCAGTTCTGCTTCAGTGTAATTGTTGGCACTGGAGCTCAGCTGAACCTTGAATGGCCTCTTCCTGCAGCAAGCAGGGGAGCAGAGCTCTGAGACAGCATCAGAGCTGCGGATTGATCGGCTCTAATAGAGGGCTCTGTTATGAGAGCTCCTCATAGCACAGCCAAGCCAATTCACTGCAGTGATAAAGTAGCGAAGCACTAAAAAAAGCCATAAGGAGTGTGAAGTAATTTTTCAGTTTTTCCATAGATAATGAAAAGGCTAAAAGAATACCAGAACAAGCAGCTCCTTCTGGGACAGTACTGTTTTGGCTATCTCTCTGCAGTTGTTGTTGATCTCTCCTTCCTATCTGTGCTAAGTAGTAATTCCCCAGCTCGGCTGGACCAGACACAGAGCACAGTCACAGCTTTAAGTGATAAAGTGTTTTTAATTGTTTGCAAAGGCTTGCTTACTCTTATTTATTCTGCTTACTGTTCTTTAAAAAAAACAACTTTCCCGTTTCATTGAGGCAGATTTGGAAGTCAAACCAGAAACTTCAGACTCTACTACGATGGAAAACACTTTGTTGGGGAGAAACGTTTTGAGTCCATCCATGACCTGGTGACAGATGGATTGATTACTCTTTATATTGAAACGAAGGCAGCTGAATACATTTCCAAGATGACAATTAATCCAATTTATGAACACATAGGATATACAACCTTAAACAGAGAGCCAGCACACAAAAAGCATATGCCAACCCTGAGAGATGAACATGATGGCAAAGAGTCTACAGGAGAGGATGAGGTAGCAGAAAAGAGGGTAAGCAATTGTTAACCCACTTTTTTTTTTTCTGTTAGACTTTTTCTTTTGTACTTTTAACCTTTCCCCTCTACTCTCAGTACTAAAGGTTTCTGCAGCTATTTAGTCTACATAGTTATTTCCAGTGTTACATTAACAATAATATTTAAACTGGTTATAGAATTTTGTAATGGTAATTTTTGCATATTGCAAATTTTCATGATTTGGAGGTTAGTTATTTTTCATTGTAATTCTTCAGGTCTTTTTATAGTTATGGATGTTACCATTAACCCGCTCCTTTACTTCAAATGGGCAAAGAATATTTAATCTTTAAATTGTTTATAGTATATAAGACAATTGCATTTTATTTCTTAACATATTCAGATTTCCCCAAACAAATGCATTCCATAACCTATTCAGCAGTCTTCATATAATAACAGTAAAGTTGTCCACATTATAAATAAGACTGTTCATTAAGTTGATAAAATGTTAAAACATTTCACTTGGCTAAGTTCAGCCTGTCAGAAGCTGACAGAGCTATTTTTGGCCTCAGCCAGACTTGCAAAGAGGGATTGCTCTCTTCAGAGAGTTGCAGTATCAGCTGAGAAGTAATTGCATCCTGGATTATAAAAGAAAAACTAAGAAGGAAGAAATCTTAGAACCAGTGAATTAAGGGAGGTTGGGAATCTACTGGGCAGACCAAGTAGCTGCCTGAAATTTTATTTGTGGTTCAGAGACTAAACATAAAAGGAAGCCATAATGTAAATTCCGTTGTGTTAAATGAAATACTTTGTTTATTGAAAATCTGACAAATGAAAGTATTTTAAAAAGGTATTTTTACACATCTGTAGGTGTTAATGCATGTATAATAGTCTGATATGCTTCCCTATTTCACAAACTTCAGGATGATACATTAGGCCTATCTAATATGCTCATAGTGCGTGGAAGAAATGCTAACCTTAGTTGGGATCTTTTGTCTCTCCAATCAGAAATGTGTGATTTTAGTTTTTGTGGATGTGGAGGAAAGGTCTGACTGACAATTTCCAATATACATGGCTATTACAGTGAAACTAAGCTCCATACTGAGTCCACAGAGAGAGAGGCTCATAGCTTTGGTCCCTCAAATCCTCCTTCAGCAGAATCTGTCATTCTGCACTGAATTTGCTGAGAGATGAAGCACCCAACTTAGCTTAAAGTATGAATCTTCACTGTTATCAGATCATTTTGACAAAAGAAATACTGCTGGGATAGTGAAGCTAGCTGACCACATTTAATATCCAATTTCTCGCCTGTTAGGTAGCAGTAGTAGAGGGGTGAGTTATCACTTACAGTTCTTGACAGCCACTGCTTCCAGTGTGCTGTTTCAAAAGGATTCTTTTTGCATAATATCATAGACAGTTTATTATAATGCAAAGCCTGGGTAAAAGTCTTCTCTAAGTCTTCTGGAAGTTACCACTTCAGGTTTCTTTGGTAAAATTAACTTTTCCTGCATTTATAAACTTCCAAGTGACAGCAGAACTCTGTTCTGTTACATTTTTTAGATTGATGAAACAGTGTTCGTAGTAAAGGGATTTCAATGATTAGTGTTGAAGAATGCTGGTTTTTTTCGATGGATTCCACTCATTGTGTTATGTCACTCACCATCTGTTTTGAAACATTTTTTATTAAATAGCTCAGGGACTATTGAATATTTGTTAAAGATTGAAATTTTATATGAAAAACCTTTAAACAGATTAGATAGGTAATCTCAGCTTCCCACTCCCTTCATCTGGAACTTGCAAGTGACTAAAGGGGCTCCAGCCACAAAACAGTTCAACAGCAGTGGTGTCTTCAGTCCTGAAGCCCAGGTTTTAATACTCTTCTTTATTTTGTCTTGGAACTCTATTGATGTGAACACACTGAGGCACACAGACATCACAGGATAGTTAAATGCGGAGTTTTCAGTTGACTTTTTGAGTGATGTCCAGTTGGGGTTGCTATCTGTGGCTTCATGGGGACAGTACAGTGTGGTCTTTGTCACCGTGGAGTGGCACAGAGGTGACATCTTGGCTGTCTTTGCGCCTCTCAGGGTTTGGGTGGGAAGATGGCACAGATTTTCCTGCATGTCACTTCACCCAGCAAGGCATTCAGCCCCATGACCAGCACCTGATCCCACCAGCAACCTCAGCATTTGGAACAAGCAGCTGTTTATAAATAGGTCAAGCAGTTGTTCTTCCCTTTTGGTGGCAGGGCTGGCAGGTTGATTCCTGTTGTCCAACATGAAGAGAATATCATTGAATTGCAATGAACCAAAGAAAATTGTTCAGAGTTCAACATGAAAAAAACCCATTGTTTTATGACCCAAGCAGCAAGATCTGTGTGCCCATTAGCCCCATGGTGAGGATGAAAATTTCCTGTGTGTACAGTGTCTGGCAATTAATGCATGTTTATCAGTTCTGTAATGCACAGCTTCTCCCTGCACTGTATGCTTCTTCCTCTGTAAAGAGAGAAAGAAGTCTGGGTCTTTAACGTGATCATCTGACCATCCTGAGCCAAAATATGTTCCCAGATTTGCAGGCTCTGAGGCTGTTCAGATACAAATCTAAATTTGTGCCTGTGACTGTTGCCCAGTCATGTGTGGGTGGTGCATGGAATATAAGTCCTTCAGAAGGAAAGAAGAGACACAAAACCAGTCAGAACCTGTGGAATAGCTGCTGGGAATGGAGTCTCACTTTCTGCCATGGAAACTGGGCACCTAGAGAATACACTCCAAGCTTGAGAATGAAATATTAAAGGGCACTCACCCAGTCTTCAGTTTGGTGTGGGGCAGTAGCAGGAAATGCTGCATTTTGTGTTAGATGCCTCCCAGCAGGCACTTGGAATACTTCATTTGTTCCCTGCTCTTTCTGTAATTAATGTATGGTAGAAGAATTCCGTATGTGTTGGGTGGCACTTTTCATTTGCAATATATTAAAAAGGAGCCCTAGTGAAGGGGAAAGATTTAAAGACTGAAAGAGATGAAAAGTCAAAACTTATGCAATCATTAGATAAGAATTGTAAAATAGAAATTGCAATACTCCTGAGTTGTGCAAGAGACCATATTGTGGCATGATTTAAGATGCAATTTTTGATGGGAAAATATAATCCACTACACAGCATGTGCTTCACTAATAATGAGAAAGACTATAACTGCATACCATGTACAAGTGTACATTAAAAGTTTAAATTCCTGGGTAATAATTTAATGCTTTTCCTAACCTATGAAGGAATTACTAATTAGTCAAGACATAACTGGAGGAGGAGAGACTGAGAACAGGAGAGTGCTTGTCTTGCTTGGATGTCCCAAGTAGACATTTTAGCTGTTGTGCTAAAAAGGTGATATTGGTTCCCAAAACAGTCTGGAAATTGTTCAGAACTCAGTTGTGGGGCCATCATGGTCTGTGTGTTAAGAGAAGGCTAAGAATGATTTAAAAGAGGATTTCCCATGTGGATTCAATGTGTATGGCCTAGTGTGGAAGTAGAAATAATAGCCAGTATCATAAGATTTAGTATTCCTCCTGTGCTTTGAATACTGATGGGTCTCTGACATTCTGTACTCTCAAAGGCATATATGGCCTTAGAGCAGATCACCTGCTCTAAACACCCTATAAAAATGGTAGCTCTCAGAAATTAGTAAATATCTAGAAACATAAATCAAAGTCCTTCTTTAAAGCCTCTTTAAAGCAAAACATCCTTTTTTCATTTTGACATGTTTTTGATTTCTTTATAATATGTATAATATGTAAGAGGTGGTATGAGTGATTCAAGATTTAATATTTGTTATGAAAAAATGAAATCATTAGTTATGAGTTATCCTGTCTTTCAAAATGAAATCCTGGGGTAAATGTTAGGATAGCAACTGAATCACATCTATTCATGTTTACTTTAGTGATTTGTGCTATTTCTTCAAGAAACTCAGTGGCTGTTAATCAATTAAAGACCCCTTCTAGACTGTACTACATTCCATTCAATTCCTATAGATGGAAAGAATTGTGGAAAGTTTGTGGCAGCAGTCACCCAACAAAAGCAATCTTCTTTTTCTGTTTTCAATTACCTCAGTTGGTGATACCATTTTTTCCTCTATAGTGAAGAAGGTTGATTTTTCTGCAACTCTGTGCAAGGAGATCTGAAAATGTCAATCTGTATAATTTTAGTAGGAGACATGCTTTTATACCTGCCTCCAAAGATCATACAGATGACAAAGTTAAGTGTGATCTGTGTACGTTTCTAATAAATTTGTAGTAGACTCCACATACAGAATCAAGGGTTATACTTTCAGGTGTTTGAAGAGGGACCAGTCTTATTTTCCAATCTTAAATTAACACCTCTATTTTCATGAATGTCACTACTATTTTTCTAATTTTGGTCTCAGTCAAATCTGTTAGTAAGATCTGCTTAAACTTTTCCTTCACCATGGCTTATTTTATCTTCAGGGGCAGCACATGAGAGGCTGAAGCTGAGGGAGTTGCAGTGGCTGGCATGGAAGTACAGGCACCCTTATCCAGGTCTGTGATAGAGGCACAGAGCTTTGAACAGCGCTGTTTGGTGCCCAGTAATGCCAATTCTGGAACTGATGGGGCTCAAAAAGACCTGGTCTTAATAATCAGGGAGCAAAGTGTGCTTTGAGGGCTGCAGCAATCTTGATGCTGGAAGTTGTTTGAAATATTTGCATTTACTTGAATTAACTTCAAAGATGGGTGTATAATGTACACAGCATCTAAACAAGCCATAGCTGTAACAAGGGCAATCATGTTTTTAGAAGTGCAGCTAATGAATGTTTACCTTAAAGCACATTTAAAGATGCAGGACACTCAGCACTGAAGAATCCCATGGGTTAACTGGAGGAGATTGTCAACTCTTTTCTCACAAACGTTCCTTTCCAATCCCTGCGCGGGTGTCCATGACAATCACTCTCTAACTTTAATGTAATTTATAAATAAAACATAACTCTGTGGAAGGCAGAAACTTCTATTTATTTCTTCTGGGTTTAGCCCATCTTTCAG